CAGTGTACACAGGGTGTGCCAGTGTACACAGGGTGTGCCAGTGTACACAGTGTGCCAGTGTACACAGGGTGTGCCAGTGTACACAGTGTGCCAGTGTACACAGTGTGTGCCAGTGTACACAGTGTGTGCCAGTGTACACAGGGTGTGTCAGTGTACACAGTGTATGCCAGTGTACACAGTGTACACAGGGTGTGCCAGTGTACAAAGGGGGTGCCAGTGTACACAGGGTGTGCCAGTGTACACAGTGTGTGCCAGTGTACACAGGGTGTGCCAGTGTACACAGGGTGTGCCAGTGTACACAGTGTGCCAGTGTACACAGGGTGTGCCAGTGTACACAGTGTGCCAGCGTACAAAGGGGGTGCCAGTGTACACAGGGTGTGTCAGTGTACACAGTGTATGCCAGTGTACACAGTGTACACAGGGTGTGCCAGTGTACACAGGGTGTGCCAGTGAACACAGTGTGCCAGTGTACACAGGGTGTGCCAGTGTACACAGTGTGCCAGTGTACACAGTGTGTGCCAGTGTACACAGTGTGTGCCAGTGTACACAGGGTGTGTCAGTGTACACAGTGTATGCCAGTGTACACAGTGTACACAGGGTGTGCCAGTGTACACAGTGTGCCAGTGTACACAGTGTGTCAGTGTACACAGTGTGTGCCAGTGTACACAGTGTGCCAGTGTACACAGGGTGTGCCAGTGTACACAGGGTGTGCCAGTGTACACAGGGTGTGCCAGTGTACACAGTGTGCCACTGTACACAGGGTGTGCCAGTGTACACAGGGTGTGGCAGTGTACACAGGGTATGCCAGTGTACACAGTGTACACAGGGTGTGCCAGTGTTCAAAGGGGGTGCCAGTGTACACAGTGTGCCAGTGTACACAGGGTGTGCCAGTGTACACAGGGTGTGTCAGTGTACACAGTGTGTGCCAGTGTACACAGTGTGTGCCAGTGTACACAGGGTGTGTCAGTGTACACAGTGTGTGCCAGTGTACACAGTGTACACAGGGTGTGCCAGTGTACAAAGGGGGTGCCAGTGTACACAGTGTGCCAGTGTACACAGTGTGCCAGTGTACACAGTGTGTGCCAGTGTACACAGGGTGTGTCAGTGTACACAGTGTATGCCAGTGTACACAGTGTACACAGGGTGTGCCAGTGTACAAAGGGGGTGCCAGTGTACACAGTGTGCCAGTGTACACAGTGTGCCAGTGTACACAGTGTGTGCCAGTGTACACAGTGTGCCAGTGTACACAGGGTGTGCCAGTGTACACAGTGTGCCAGTGTACACAGTGTGTGCCAGTGTACACAGTGTGCCAGTGTACACAGTGTGCCAGTGTACACAGTGTGCCAGTGTACAGTGTGTGCCAGTGTACACAGTGTGCCAGTGTACACAGTGTGCCAGTGTACACAGGGTGTGTCAGTGTACACAGGGTGTGCCAGTGTACACAGTGTGCCAGTGTACACAGGGTGTGGCAGTGTCAAAGGGGGTGCCAGTGTACACAGTGTGCCAGTGTACACAGTGTGCCAGTGTACACAGGGTGTGTCAGTGTACACTGTGTGCCAGCGTACACAGTGTACACAGGGTGTGGCAGTGTACACAGTGTGTGCCAGTGTACACAGTGTGCCAGTGTACACAGGGTGTGCCAGTGTACACAGGGTGTGCCAGTGTACACAGGGTGTGCCAGTGTACACAGGGTGCCAGTGTACACAGGGTGTGGCAGTGTACACAGGGTGTGCCAGTGTACACAGTGTGCCAGTGTACACAGGGTGTGCCAGTGTACACAGTGTGCCAGTGTACACAGGGTGTGGCAGTGTACACAGGGTGTGGCAGTGTACACAGGGTGTGCCAGTGTACACAGGGTGTGGCAGTGTACACAGGGTGTGGCAGTGTACACAGGGTGTGCCAGTGTACACAGTGTGGCAGTGTACACAGGGTGTGCCAGTGAACACAGTGTGCCAGTGTACACAGGGTGTGCCAGTGAACACAGTGTGCCAGTGTACGCAGGGTGTGCCAGTGAACACAGTGTGCCAGTGTACACAGGGTGTGCCTGTGTACACAGGGAGTGCCAGTGTACACAGGGAGTGCCAGTGTACACAGGGAGTGCCAGTGTACACAGGGAGTGCCAGTGTACACAGGGAGTGCCAGTGTACACAGGGAGTGCCAGTGTACACAGGGAGTGCCAGTGTACACAGGGTGTGGCAGTGTACACAGGGTGTGCCAGTGTACACAGGGTGTGGCAGTGTACACAGGGTGTGGCAGTGTACACAGGGTGTGCCAGTGTACACAGTGTGGCAGTGTACACAGGGGTGCCACCTCAGGGTACCCAGCAGCTACTAGACACAAGGTGCTGGTCGCTCACAACTATGGCATTGTTCTCAATTATTTAGGTCACCCCCCCCCCCTCCCCCATACTATACTGACCAAGAGTAGTGTCCCTGATCTACCTCTGTAATGGTGTCATCTACCCGACACCACTCACCATCCCAGTATGGTGTCATCTACCTGACACCACTCACCATCCCAGTATGGTGTCATCTACCCGACACCACTCACCATCCCAGTATGGTGTCATCTACCCGATACCATTCACCATCCCAGTATGGTGTCTTCTACTCAACACCACTCACCATCCCAGTATGGTGTCATCTACCCGACACCACTCACCATCCCAGTATGGTGTCATCTCCCCGACACCACTCACCATCCAAGTATGGTGTCATCTACCCGATACCATTCACCATCCCAGTATGGTGTCATCTACCCGATACCATTCACCATCCCAGTATGGTGTCATCTACCCGACACCACTCACTATCCCAGTATGGTGTCATCTACCCGACACCACTCACCATCCAAGTATGGTGTCATCTACCCGACACCACTCACCATCCCAGTATGGTGTCATCTACCCGACACCACTCACCATCCAAGTATGGTGTCATCTACCCGATACCATTCACCATCCCAGTATGGTGTCATCTACCCGATACCATTCACCATCCCAGTATGGTGTCATCTACCCGACACCACTCACTATCCCAGTATGGTGTCATCTACCCGACACCACTCACCATCCAAGTATGGTGTCATCTACCCGACACCACTCACCGTCCCAGTATGGTGTCATCTACCCGACACCACTCACCATCCAAGTATGGTGTCATCTACCCGACACCACTCACCATCACAGTATGGTGTCATCTACCCGACACCACTCACCATCACAGTATGGTGTCATCTACCCGACACCACTCACTATCCCAGTATGGTATCATCTTCCCGACACCACTCACCATCACAGTATGGTGTCATCTACCCGACACCACTCACCATCACAGTATGGTGTCATCTACCCGACACCACTCACCATCCCAGTATGGTGTCATCTACCCGACACCACTCACCATCCCAGTATGGTGTCATCTACCCGACACCACTCACCATCACAGTATGGTGTCATCTACCCGACACCACTCACCATCCCAGTATGGTGTCATCTACCCGACACCACTCACCATCCCAGTATGGTGTCATCTACCCGACACCACTCACCATCACAGTATGGTGTCATCTAACCGACACCACTCACCATCCCAGTATGGTGTCATCTACCCGACACCACTCACCATCACAGTATGGTGTCATCTAACCGACACCACTCACCATCCCAGTATGGTGTCATCTACCCGACACCACTCACCATCCCAGTATGGTGTCATCTACTCAACACCACTCACCATCCCAGTATGGTGTCATCTACCCGACACCACTCACCATCCCAGTATGGTGTCATCTACCCGACACCACTCACCATCCCAGTATGGTGTCATCTACCTGACACCACTCACCATCCCAGTATGGTGTCATCTACTCAACACCACTCACCATCCCAGTATGGTGTCATCTACCCGACACCACTCACCATCCAACTATGGTGTCATTCAATTCAATTTCTTTCTTTATTATGCACCCCATACCCATCCCGTGGGTGGTGGTGTAAAGGATTACAGAGGCACATAATCGGTTCAGGAACTGAATCCTCTAGTTCGTTTAGCTAAGCAAATAACAATCTTTTGACGCTAGTTACACAGTTATTAATGTTATATATACATGCACGCATACTTATACATACATGTACATATATATACATATATACATACACATACATATTCAATCACCTACACAAATACACACATCAGTAATCTTTTGCGTCACAAGTGATTCAACAAGAGGCTCACAACAGTCACTATACAAGGCACTTTACATCTATGGTGAGTCACACAGTTACTAGTCTTGCTCCACACCCACCCAACTGGGCGGCAGCGTAACAGTCATGTGCTGCACACCCACTCAACTGGGCGGCAGCGTAACAGTCATGTGCTGCACACCCACCCAACTGGGCGGCAGCGTAACAGTCATGTGCTGCACACCCACCCAACTGGGCGGCAGCGTAACAGTCATGTGCTCCACACCCACCCAACTGGGCGGCAGCTTTACAGTCATGTGTATGCATTACCTACAGTAAGAAAATTTTGGATACTTCGCTAAGATTTTGGCCAGCACATCATTATGAATGAAGTACTTACACATTTCTTGGACACCATTGATGGTGTTATCTACCCAACACCATCCCAGTATGGTGTCCCCTTATCAACCAGGCTGTGACTCATACGTCAGGCTGCGAGCAGCCGCATCCAACAGCCTGGTTGACCAGTCCAGCAACGAGGAGGCCTGGTCGACGACCGGGCCGCGGGGTCGCTGAGCCCCGAAATCACCTCAAGGTAACCTCCCACAAATTTCTAAGCAGTCTTTCTTATAAACATACGTTGAACACCTTTTAAGGCGTCCGGTTTGGTGTCTGGAGAGTTCTTCATAAGTATATTGGCAGTCTTCTTGTTTTTGTAATAAATTGTTAATTGTATCTTTTTATTAGATATTATTGATAGGAACGTTATCCCTACAGACACTAATCAGAAGATATAATTAACTATTTACTACAAAAACTATCTCAGACTGCCAACCTCTTCCCTCTCATGTTTCCCCGCGGTCTCTTCCCTCTCATGTTTCCCCGCGGTCTCTTCCCTCTCATGTTTCCCCGCGGTCTCTTCCCTCTCATGTTTCCCCGCGGTCTCTTCCCTCTCATGTTTCCCCGCGGTCTCTTCCCTCTCATGTTTCCCCGCGGTCTCTTCCCTCTCATGTTTCCCCACGGTCTCTTCCATCTCATGTTTCCCCGCGGTCTCTTCCCTCTCATGTTTCCCCGCGGTCTCTTCCCTCTCATGTTTCCCCACGGTCTCTTCCCTCTCATGTTTCCCCGCGGTCTCTTCCCTCTCATGTTTCCCCGCGGTCTCTTCCCTCTCATGTTTCCCCGCGGTCTCTTCCCTCTCATGTTTCCCCACGGTCTCTTCCCTCTCATGTTTCCCCGCGGTCTCTTCCCTCTCATGTTTCCCCGCGGTCTCTTCCCTCTCATGTTTCCCCACGGTCTCTTCCCTCTCATGTTTCCCCGCGGTCTCTTCCCTCTCATGTTTCCCCGCGGTCTCTTCCCTCTCATGTTTCCCCGCGGTCTCTTCCCTCTCATGTTTCCCCACGGTCTCTTCCCTCTCATGTTTCCCCGCGGTCTCTTCCATCTCATGTTTTCATATCCCTTATGACAAACTATCTTCGGAGGAAAGCATAAGGTTGCTACGGGATGATCTAGATGGCCTTCTAAAATGGAGACAGGATTGGCAGACGCAGGTTGGTGCATAACATTGTAGGTTGTGAGTTTGAGTGATCATTGTCCAGCTGCCGGATGTCAGCTGGACAATGATGAAGTTGCGAAGTCGAATTGCGAGGAAAATCTGGGAGTCATGATTGGCAATGATCTTCAGCAAAAATAATCAATGCATAGGTGCAAGGAATGGAGGAAGGGGGGATATTGGGATTGGTTTCTCGAAGCATTAGCAACATGACTAGTAATGTTATTAGGGTCTCGTAGTCTTGTAGTACAGTTGGCTTCGTTCTCGATTCCCGGGTAGAACAGAAATGGTCGGGCACGTTTCCTCTTCCTCTTTTCACCTAGCAATAAATAGGTACCCGGGAATTAGGTAACTGTTGTTGGGTTGCATCCTGGGGAGGGTCAGGAGTTCGACTTTTGGGGGACCTTTTTGGAGAGGGGAAATTCGACAAGAAAGAGAAGGGTGGGCAGACTAAATTTTCTTGTACTGTCAGGAAGCATTTGACACAGTACCCCATAAAAGGCTGTTACAGAAGTTGGAGCAACCAGGCGTAAAAGGTAAGGTGCTCCAGTGGACAAGGGAATATCTAAGCAACAGGAAACAGTGAGTAACTGTGAGGGGGCAGACATTAAAGGGGCGAGATGTCATCAGCAGAGTCCCACAAGGCTCTGTACTTGGACCCATCCGGTTTCTGATATGTGTAAACGACCTTCCAGAGGGTATAGACTCATTCCTCTCAATGTTTGCTGATGATGCAAAAATTATGAGAAGAATCAAGACAGATGAAGGTAGAGACTACAGGACGACCTGAACAAACTGAAGGAATGGTCTAGAAAATGGCTACTAAAGTTTAACTCAGGAAAATGTAAAGTAATGAAATTTGACGAGGGGAGCAGAAGGCTGAACACAAGGTGCCATCTGGGAGGTGAAATCCTGCAAGAGTCAAATAGAGAGAAAGATCTGGGAGTTGATATCACACCGAACCTATCCCCAGAGACCCACGTCAAAAGAATATCAGCGGCATATGCTAGATTGGCCAACATAAGAACTGCCTCAAGAAACTTGTGTTAGGGATCGTTAAGGACCTTGTATACCACTTATGTCAGACCAATCCTGGAGTTTGCAGCTCCAGCCTAGAGTCCATACCTTGTTAAACACAAGATAGAGTTAGAGAAGCTCCAGAGATATGCCATCAGACTAGTCCCAGAACTGAGAGGTATGAGCTACGAGGAAAGGCTGCAGAAGCTAAACCTCAAGTCCGTGGAAGACAAGAGTAAAGGGAGACATGATAATCACCAACAAAATTCTCAGAGAAATTGACAGGGTGGACAAAGACAAACTATTTAACATGGGTGGAACACGAACAAGGGGACACAAGTGAAAACGTAGTGCCCAAATGAGCCACAGAGACATTACAAAGAATTTTTTCATTGTCAGAGTGGTTAACAAATGGAATGCATTAGACAGTGATGTGGTGGAGGCTGACTCCATACACAGTTTCAAATGTGAGGGGGATAAGAGCCCAAAAGGTTGCAGAATCTGTAAACCAGTTGATTGACAGTTGAGAGGCGAGACCAAAGAGCCAAAGCTCAACCCCCGCAAACACAACTAGTGAGTACATACATTCAGGCATCCTGTATGTAGACAAAACAAAGTATTGTATTCGTTTTGTCGAGGACAAAACAAAACAAGAAATGTAAAACACTGTATCGCTTGTGTTGAGGCCCGTTTACCTGGGTCAATACTGTTTTGGAAACAGGATTGTTGATTTACACAACAAATTACCGGGTAACATAATATACGTGTGGTGATGTATTGTTTCAATCGTATGTTAGACACATATATGAATGAGTTCGGTTAGATATAAATAAATGGGGTTTCGTATAGGCCAATAAGTTTATTGCAGTTTCCTTAATTCTTATCTTCTAATGTTTACTGTTTTTATCAGCCCAACCAATTGAGCTGAACGGTAGAGCAACAGTCTCGCTTCATGCAGGTCGACGTTCAATCCCCGACCGTCCAAGTGGTTGGGTACCGTCCTTCACCCGTCCCATCCCAAATCCTTATCCTGATCCCTTCACAGTGCTATATAGTCGTAACGGTTTGGCGCTTTCTCCTGATAGTTCCCTTCCCTTCTGTTTTTATCATTGTAAATGCTGGCGGCGTGTTTCCTGTTTTTATTGTGTAGTAATTGCGGACATCCAGCAGGGAGCAAGCGATCAGATGCGTCCTGTTTGTCAGGTTGTGTGGTGATCAGTGACCTTGAGAGAATGATTGGCTCTTGGCGCCCCTGGTGCAGTGCACAGCTCCAGGGGCAACCAGTTGGGGGGAGGGGGGGGGATATTGATTGGAATGTGAGGGATTGGCTCACGTGCTGTTGCTGCTTTAGTGCCAGACCTTGCAAACACATGCACGTACACACACACACACAGATATATGGCAGATATATTGAAGAAGACTAACATAGTTCCAATCTGTATAAAAAGTAACAGGAGAAAACCTCTTAATTGTAGACCTGTGTTGACCAGCGTAGTAGTCAAAATATTAGAACAAATAATTAAAACCAAATTGGTAGAACACCTGGAGAGAAATAATATAACAGACAGGACGCGTGATTTTCGAACAGAAAACCAACTGTGTGCCAACTCTACATAGTTTCTATGGTACAGTTATTTTATAGGAGATTTTACAAGAGAGATTGATGGGTTAACTGAATTGATCTAGATATAAAAAGGCTTTCGACAGTCCAACATAACTGGTAGTTCAGAAAAACTGCAACATCCTAGACGGGTGACAGGGAGACATGACATGGACGAAACAAATTTCAGACAGAAATATGAGGGCGGTAATGAGCCGCAATGTATGAGGTTAGAGAGGTGGTACCAGTGGAATACCACAGAGTTCAGTTCCAGCACTGGTAGTAATGTTCATTGTCAATAATAAAAAAAAACTTTGACTAGGCGCCAATCCTTAACTGCACACCTCTGTTCACCCAGCAGTGGATTGGGGTTGTTAAACGATTGGCGAGCCGTGTTCTAGGAAAACTAGTGGGTAAGGCTTACTAAGAGCTATGGGACTTGGAAGCTCTCAGCCTGTTAACGTGAGTCACCAGTCGTCTGTTCCTGTAACCACCTATACAGAAAACTAAATTGCCAGAAAGAATGCAGAAATATATTGAATGAATATATTGAAATATATTCGGGCAGAATGCGTTTCTGCCCGAAACGCTTTGCGTAATAATGGCTTTAGGCATTGTATGTACTAGCTCTATCTATAAATCCATCAACTTTTGTATCTTACTTTGTATGTATGCACTTTACCTGAATAAATATTTGTATTTGTATATGAACATATTTGCTAATGAAAGCAAGTTACTAGGGAAGATGAAAAACTTTCGACTACTGGCATCCCTAACAAGAAGACCTGGACAAAATACGTGTACAGACCAACACTTTCTAAATAGAATTTCATGTGAATAAATGCAATGTTAGGAATGTGGAATAAGAGAAAATTGGCCACACACAACCTACAAATTATGTGAAAAAGCTTTAGTTAGAGAATAATGATAATAAAGAAAGATCTAAAGTTGATTCTAGTTATAAATTTATCACCTGAGGACTACATCAAAAAAATATTGTGCGAGTAGCCTATGCTACGCTTTCCAACTTCAGAAACAATTTTAAACATATGGGTGGCGAAATATTAAAGAAAATTGTCACGACCTTTGTGAGACCAAAGTTGGAAAATGTAGCAGTTGTATAGTCCCCATATCTCAAGAAGAACACCAATAAACTGGAGATGGTTTAAAGACATGCAACTAAATGGTTTCCGGAACTGAAACAAACAAGAGCTTCGAGATGTTAGGGGCGTTTAATATACCTAAGCTAGAAGATAGGAGAAAAAGAGGTGACATGATCACTACGTACAGTACAGGAGCTGGACTCCATAAAAATGACAAGGAAATTTGTTTAAAAACTTCAACTTCAAGCATAAGAGGACATTAGTTCAAACTAAAGAGACAAAGCTGCTGGAAAAACACTAGAAAGTTTACTTTCAGAGAGTGGTAGACGGTTGGAACAAGTTAAGTGAGGTGGTAGAGGCCAAGAGAGTCAGTAGTTTCAACGCGTTATACGACAAAGAGCACTGAGACAACGGGACACCACGATCGGAGCGCTCATAATGCAACAACACTTAGGAGATTATAGACAAAACGCCACGAACAATCAAAACATTTTACTTGTATATCATAAAATAGAACCCCGAGATTGCGGACGCTACCATTGCACAAATCATCCCTTCACCCAGTTACAAATCAGCACCCAGGAGTAAAGCAACTGTTGTGGGTTGTATTCTGGAGAAGGTCTATGAAAGGAGAAAAGGAGGACTTCACACCTGAGGTATCCCTTCACCAAGCAATAAATAGGTATCCAGGGCAGGATAGTTGACCTTGGGAGCCTTCGATAGCCAAGTCATGTGGGAATAATAGGAAATGACAATGCAGATGAAGCTGCAAAACTTGCAACTAAGAGAAGAAATGTAGACATTTACATACCACAGAGTCTATCACAGATTAAGAAAGTAATTAGAAACAGAGCAATGCAAAAGATGTACAGTGACCACAACACAGCAGTTGCAACATCATGATCTGCGGGTTGGTATAAGAATTCAACCAACTACGGACCACTTAGTTTGATGAAAGGGAGCAGTGGAACAACAGAAGTTCACTTACATCGCATCAGGCTTTGATACCCAAGTACATGGAAAATAGGCTTACAGGTTCCGGAAGATGAGAGGAAATGTCAGCACTATAGAGAAATGCCCGACAGACCACTGGAACATTATCTAACACAGTGCAGAAATGCCCGACAGACCACTGGAACATTATCTAACACAGTGCAGAAATGCCCAAC